AAGCGCACAAACTAATTCGCGTGTTGCTCCGACGAACCTGAGGGGTGGGGTGTACCCCGCCTCTGCCGGGCGTTCCCGGCCGCCGGACAGCCGTAATTAGTTATCACTCCCACCTTCCGTACCTTCTTTTCCGCATCCCGAAAATCCCGTCTTGGTACTTGACATTCGAAAAGGGGTAGGTCGCTCGCTGCCTCTGTCGGGCGTTCCCGGCCGTCAAGTACCAACTCCGTTTCCTTTCCTAGCATTGCCAAAATTACGTATCGCGCTGGCGTATACCCGCGTTCCGCCGCGTTGCAGATCGCCGTCGAGAAAACCCGCGACCGCCGGTATATATCTCGCGCCGTTTAGAGTTAGTTTTCGTTGTAGAGTCCGCGTCCGTTTTCTGCGTTAATATATATATATACATGTTTTTCTGTTGTCCGCGCTCGTTTGTATATATATATATATATATTTTCTGTTACCCGCGCTCGTTTATTTTCTTCGCTGTATTATTGTAAGTCGCGTCCGTTAATTATATATTCCTATATGTTATTTTTCTCTTCGATTATTATAATTTCCGTATCATCTAGCTTGTCTTAATAAACGATGTTTCTTGTCTAACTATTACTTTTGCATTAGTATTTTCTTTACCGACGCTTCACATAATTTTCCGCCGCCCCGTTCCGACGCGAATACTCCTTCCGCCGAACCTTTTTTATACGACACGCAAATTTTCCGACGAGCTAGTCCGAGTATAAAAATCAGGTAGTTACAATAATAATAATAATAATTCGATAAAAATAAATAATTTTCATTATTTTTTGTTCTAATGAATTAAATAATTTAAAGAGCGTGCAATACGGATACCGCACGCGGTGATGCTGTCGCACGCGATAACGCTGGCACAGCGCGTTATACGATACAGCGCGAAGGATGCATGGAAGGAAGCGAAGAATTGAGAGATGTGTTATTTAAATTTATACATTTATTTATTCGTCATGTTGTGCATGATATACAATATCACCTAAAGCGTACATTATTAATTCGCATTCGATATTAGAATTTTTATCATAAACCTTACGCAAAGCGTTTACAGCTTCAAATTTATTCACAATACAATTTTGACGTAAATAAGTCACGAAATATTTGAATTTATCATTTACACTGTTCGTATATTGACACAAATTGAAATATGCATGATCAACGCATTGTTCGAGTATGAAGAGTACAGTCGACGGTTTCATATACGTACACTTGTCACATAAAGATAATTTCACAGTGTTCACATCACGTATTTTGACAAGTTCCATTACAAGGTCTTGAATCATCAACGATGATGATGGTGTAGTCGATTGCACCAATCTTTCTATATCCGCGCGTTTTTCGACGAACGCTGTCCACGTGGCGTGCGGTAGGATGATGCGGTTGCCTCGGGTATCACTAATCGCAATTTCCACGTGAGACATCGATCCCACGGCGATCCCAATCTCAAGAAATTTGTACGCTGTCGGAGTCAACGCAAATGTTCTACCCATGATGTTACGTGCGCTGCAATAAAGAATAAATAATATAAGATATTTTCATAGAATATTTTTATAGATATATAATTTTTACATAGATATATGTGAAATACTTACAGTTCATACTGAACGTGAGAATCCATGCTGATTGAAATCGTTTGAGTAACTGATGCGGTAACGTTGCACGAACCGCTTTTAAATTGTATCCCCCTCCAACGTTTTTTTAAAAATGCAGCGTTTGCAAATATGCAGCTGCAACAATTTTGCAAAAGACACGTACGGTGATGAAATCATCAGTGTAATTCAATAATTTAAAAATGCAACGTTTGCAAATATGCAGTTGCTAAGAAAGAATTTCGCACAATACAGATTTTTAGACACGTACGGTGATGAAATCATTAGTGTAATTCGATATTTAAAAATGCAACGTTCGCAAGTTCTGTTTAAGATTTTATGCAAAAAGACACGTCCGGTGATGAGAGCAGTAATGTAATTTGATACAAATGCGACGTTGCCAAATTGTGCAGTTAAGAGATGCATTGTTGCCAAATAGATTGATATAAAACGCAAAGATTTAGACGCATCGTGTCATTAGTCAATCAAGCGACATGGAGCTAGATTTGATACAGCAAGCTAACCAGCTTAGTACTAAAGAAGAGTACGTCACGTGGGAACAGCGATGCGACGAATTTATAGAATCTCTGGAAGAACAGAGTCGGATCAAACGCCCGCGATTATCAATCGGTAATAGACAATCAGTGATCGCAAGTATCGCGCGGCTCGAGAGTTTGAAAGATTCAGTGCGCGGACGATTCGTGTACGTGGGCGCCGGATATGGACTCCGATGGCGCGAGATAGAAACGGCGTTCGAAAGCCGTATTTTGACGGGCGCGGTGATAAACTCTAATCACATCGAGCCCCGTCGATTCCTCGAAGACGCGAGTGAAATTGTGCTCGAGCGTGTACAAAGTGTTTTACAGAGACATGACTCTATAAATACAGTATTTAACGGTGAATTCGTGGCGGGTGATAAACGCGCGAATAAGAGCATCGCAACCAGGAACTATGAAATATATCGATGCATCGATCAGCGCGAGTGGTACGTGTCACGCGTTGTCGAGCCAATCCTAGCATCGCTCGAAGAGTTTCAAGAACGCGATAGTGGATGAGCACTATCGCGTATACTAAACTTGACTGTTAACGCGAATAAACTGAATCCTCTGCGCGCGGGATGTCGCATTAAACTCCCGGAGGAAATTATGCTGAAGAGAGCGGTGATCAACGTGCAATCTAAAGACAATGCTTGTTTTGCATGGTCGGTAGTTGCCGCTCTGCATCCAGCCCAAGAAAATGGTCACAGAGAATCTTCATATCCGCACTACACATCGGTACTAAATTTTACGGGTATTGAGTTTCCGATGACGTTGAGTCAAATTAAAAAATTTGAAAATCTCAACGATATTTCCATCAACGTTTACGCCATCGAGGATGGAATCGTACCGATACGACTCGCCGACCATAAGAGGAGCAAGCACGTAAACCTCTTGTACGTGGAGGATAACATCGCGGGACATTTCGCGTTGATTAAAGACCTGTCACGCCTCGTCAGTTCACAAATCAACAAATATGGACACAAGAAATATTTCTGCGATAGGTATGTATAAATAATAATAATAATAATAATAATAATAATAATAATAATAATAATAATAATAATAACGGTAATACTAATAATTTTATTTTTTATTCTTCTTCCAGATGCCTACTTTAGCTCGAGCGCTAAATTGGAGCTCTACAAAACGGATTGCGGGAAATTAAACGATTGTGCGATAAGGCTACCGAGCGAGGATGACAAGTGGCTCGAGTTCAAGAACCATTGCAGAAAGGAGCGCGTCCCGTTCGTGGCCTACGCCGATTTGGAGTGCGCACTGGAAAAGATGGATAAAGCATCATCGACGTACACATACCAACATCACAACGTCTTCAGTATCGGGTATTACGTGTACTGCTCTTATGGGACCATCCCATTGCAATCCATAGTGATAAGCAAGAAGCACAAAATTTGTTGGATCTTGTCAGAAAATTCCTTAGCACAGCATAGCGAGAACTCCTAATTTCAACGACTGTAATAGAAGAGGACGAAGCTTTCGTATATGTAAAGAGAAGAAACAGTATATGTAAATAGAAATAATTGATTGATGTACTAGACAGCGATAATGTAATCGTCGAAACTCTAGATGCGGATTACGAAGCTGTAGAATTTTTATGTCATTTAGATGCTTGTAATACAATGCGATGTATAGGATAGGACACACTAAGAATTGTACTTTGCAAAATGTGTTTAAGATATTTAACTGGTGATCGCGACGCCAGGAAGAATTGTATGATATTATTTATATATTTAAAATATACATTATCGCGCTAATACGTTTATTTCTGCTACCCGTATCATTCCATAGTAGTACGATAGACATTATATGAATACAGTAGATAAATGTTGAAAACTGATAGACTGATGATAGCAGTTCAATAGCTGTTTACAGTAGACCGATAGTTGTTCGTTAGCAGTTTAATAGCTGGTTACAGTGTACTGATAGCGGTTCGATGGCTGTTCGAAAGCCGTTCGATAGCTGTTCAATAGCCGTTCTATAGCTGTTTACAGTAAACCGATAGCTGTCTGACAGCTGTTTTCAGTGATCCGATAGCAGTTCAATAGCCGTTCAATAGCTGTTTGAAAGCTGTTCGATAGCTGTTCAATAGCAGTTCAATGACTGTTTGTAGCAGTTTGATTGTGTATCGACAGCTGTTCGATAGCCGTTTGATAGCTGTTTGATGGCTGTTTACAGTATACTGATAGCGAATTGGTAGTTGTTTGATATACGTCGGATAGGTGTTAAGGTGATTCGATATACGTTCTCAATTTTGTTACATCATATCAATTCGTGTACTATTTAGCAACGTCTCATTGCATCTCTCAAATTATATCATTAAGTGTACTATTTGGCAACGTTGCATTAGTATAAAATTATATTAAGGTGGTTTGGTACACGATGCTAGTCAAAGTAATATCTTTTCATTTTTATATTTAAAAGAAGATAGGAATTGTTTTCACTAAAATAAAAGGGCCCGTTTTTAAATAATATTGCTTATTTCGAAACATGAATATTTGGGAATAATAGAAGTTTCAAGAAAAACGGTATTATTTTGATAAACGTAGCCTTTTCACAGTTCGAGATGTGGCAACCCCGCATGAACAGACGATGCGGGGAAATGATCGGTGCGCCGATCTCAAATTATATCATTAAGTGTACTATTTGGCAACGTTGCATTAGTATAAAATTATATTAAGGTGGTTTGGTACACGATGCTAGTCAAAGTAATATCTTTTCATTTTTATATTTAAAAGAAGATAGGAATTGTTTTCACTAAAATAAAAGGGCCCGTTTTTAAATAATATTGCTTATTTCGAAACATGAATATTTGGGAATAATATAAGTTTCAAGAAAAACGGTATTATTTTGATAAACGTAGCCTTTTCACAGTTCGAGATGTGGCAACCCCGCAACAGACGATGCGGGGAAATGATTGTTTTGGTTTTGAGTGAACGTTATGGAGAAACAACAGCGATTGAAAGGAAAGTTCATATCGGAGAAACAACTAAAAAATCATGTAAGGAAAAAAAGGAATGAAGAAAAAACAAGAGGAATGGCACACAACCCCAGTTGAAAAGAAATATCCTTGCGAAGGAAGTCGCGTAGTTAACCTCAAAATACTGGGGAAAAATTTAAAATGCCGCAAGTGCGAAAAAGTTTTATCGCTAGAAGATGTTGTTGAAGAGAGAAGATCCGGATTACATTGTAAATTAATAATCAAGTGCAATGTTTGTTCTCTGCTGACAGAAGTGGCAACTGAAGAACAGCACAATGTTTGCGATGAATCAAACCATTTTCTCAAAGCAAAAGTTCACAACGATGTGAATACTAATGCCGTCTTAGGTAAACATTATTATTAGTATATAATTGTAAAATTCAATTTAAAGTATTGTTCAATTTGAGAACTTTAGCTCAAAATTGTATTAATTTCATAAAATTCATGAAAAAAAGTAGAACTCAGCCCAACAGATTTTATTGTTACTGTAACGCAAGTCATATATATCATTTTACGTTTGAACCATTTTAGGTGCTGTTCATGCTGGTATAGGATGTACCCAATTAAATAAAATTTTGGCATGTCTAAATGTACCAAATATATCGCCAAAAATGTATAAGCAATACGAACAAGAAGTTGGCCCTGCGATTGAAGGAGCAACGCAAGATTCTTGCAAAAAGTCTGCCAGTGAAGAAAGAAAATTAGTTATTGATAAAATAGAAGAATTACGTGACGTATTGTAAGACTTCATTTTTTAATTTGTTCAAAAAATTCTGTGAATAATTATAAAAATATTAATCACACTAATATTCAAAGTTTGGCTTGTACTGTAACTCGTCAATTGTAACATTTTTTGAGAATTGGGAAACATTTTTCTCACATTCAATTTTTTCTTGAAAAACAATCTGTCAGAATTACTGAAAGTTTATTGATTAAAGAAACAACAATTGTAGTAATAATTTTTTATATTTTACAATCTGTCAGAATTACTGAAAGTTTATTGATTAAAGAAACAACAATTGTGGTAATAATTTTTTATATTTTTTTGTGGTAATATTTTTTTTTTTTTTTGTTTTAATTTGTGGTAAGGTTTTGGGCAATCGAACAAGCTGAACATATGCGGTTCGATGAGTGAAATCAGCCTTCGAATACTAAAATATATTTGCAGTCACTTTGTCTTGGTCGAAGGCTGATACTATTGTTCGCAAAGGTTTTTGGCAATTGAACAAGTTAAATCTGTACAACAATAATTTATTAATGAATTGAATCTGTCTTCGAACGATAGAATTAGTTTTCAATGACTTTGGCTTTCTCGAAGGCTGGTAAATTTCTTCCTGATAACTTTTTGTGATTGCATAAGCTACATATGTGTAAGACTACTTTAAATTTATTGCAGTATTCAGAGAGTAATTTTACTAATCAATACAGTATTCTTATATGTACATGTTTAGCTCATTCGCCTACACGAAACTATTAGGAAGAATTTTAACAATCTTCAGATAAGGAAACGTTATTTTAGAATGATACAGTGATCCAAAAACAAATAAAAGAAGACATGTGAAATGTTTTATGTATGTGGTGCGATTCATAATAACATTTAACAAAATCGGCACACGTCTTACATTTTCACTTCGAATCTCTCTCCGTGTATACTTACATTTTATTTCATTAATGTAGTACTGCGTATTGTATGACCTATAAAATTTCTACTAAGAAATAAAGAAATGTTTCAATAATTAATTATGTTATTTTCTTAATGTTGGAGAGTAATGTTAGAATTTTTTAAATTTATCGTAGGCCAGAAGACATCCGGAATGAATTTGTAGAAGAAATGTACGTTCTTAAAAAATTTCAGCAGAAATTGAAGATGAAAATAAAAACCCAAAAATATTTAATAAAAGTCTAGGGAACATTATTAACATTATTGTCTCTTTTGACATGGGTTGGAGCAAAAGAGGCAATGGGAAGAGCTATGATAGTTTGAATGGATACGGTGCGATTATTGGCTTTTTCACGGGCAAAATTTTAGATTATCGTACTCGGAATAGAAAGTGTCATATGTGCGATATGGGTCATTCTTCAAACGATCACGATTGCAGAAAGAATGACAACGGCAGTGCGAAATCCATGGAAGCGGACGTAGGAGAAGAATTAATAAATCGCAGTAACATTTTAAAAGAAGCAAATCTGAATGTGAAAGTTCTTGTCGGGGACGAAGATAGTACTACCATGGCTGCGATCAACAATGCGAATGTGAAAAATAATAAAACTACAAAAATTTACAAACTAGCTGACATGAATCACGTGAAAAAGAATTTATCAAAAAAAATTTATAAATTACGATCAAACTTTAAAGCGTTAAATAAAAAGGGTTTAATTTCACACATTAAAAAATGTTTTTCTTATGCTTTGTCTCAATGCAAGCAAAATGCAACGAAATTAGAAGTAGCTGTTAGGTGTATACCATATCACTTATATAATATTCATGAAAACTGCGGCACATGGTGTAAAAGTAAGAATAAGGAAAATGCTGGACTTTCGAAACAAAAATTCATTATAACAGATGAAAATTTACATGAAGAAATAAAAACAATATTTAATGTATATGCTGATAATGCATCAAAATATTGTGTTCCTGCGTCTAGTCAAGCAAATGAGTCTCTAAATAGTATCATATCCCAGCAGCTTCCAAAAAATAAAAGTTACAGTACGACTAATTCAGCTGATTTTCGCGTTGCTTCAGCTATTGCATTAAAAAATGAAGGTAGTGTTTACTTGACTCAGGTAAAAGCCAGACTTGGGCTTCCTAAAAGTCAACATCTCGAAGAATATTGCGAAAAGGTCGATAATACGAGAATTAAAAAAGCTGCGAGATCTAAAGAGTATGAATTTAAAAAACGTAGATTGCAACTATCCGAAAACAGAGAAAACTTGAGAAAAAACGTAGAAAGTCAGGAAGGAATTACGTATCAGGGAAATATTTCATTTGAAACAAATTCTCAATCTACTGTTCTGAGTCCTGTTAGCGAAAGTGTAGTTTTAACACTTGAAAATTGTAAGATCATATTTTTCGATCTTGAAACATCTGGCCGGAAGAAAACTTCTGATATATTACAAATTGTAGCAAAAGTAGATGAACAAACTTTTTCTGTGTACATCCAACCGACTCAAACTATTGATGAAGAAGCATCTAAAGTCAACGGTTTAGAAAATATCGGAAATGTTTTATATTTAAAAGGGAAAAAATGTGATACAGTTAGTATGACCGATGCGTTATTATCTTTTCACGAATTTCTATCAAAATTTTCAGATGCATGTATACTTACGGCTCACAATGCTGGCTTTGACGTGTCGTTTCTAATTCGAGAAATTGAGAAATATTTCCTGGCACAGGATTTCCAAAAAATTATTTATGGATTTTTTGATACTTTAAAGTTGTTTCGAAAAAAATTTCCTGCGCGAAAAGGCAATGGGATGTTCACTTTATCTAAATTAGCGCAAGACTTTTTGAAAAATGACGAGTCGACAGAAAATTTTCATGAAGCATTATACGACGTAACTGTTTTACAGCATTTAGTAACATCACTTTTGAAGACAGACGACTTATTACGATATTCTGTAGATTATGTTACTTCAATAAATAAATCGATTTTGAATAAACAAATAAATCTCAGAACGAAATCATTTCTTCCACTAAGAGGTGAAGTTTCCGATTACCTTATTAAAAAACTTGCAGCTTCAGGATTAACTTTCCAAGACTTATTACAAAAGTATACAGATAGCGAAGAAAAAGGTCTTATGTTGTTACTGACTGACAAACAGAATAATAAACCAGTAATAAGAATTAAGAAAGATACATTAACAAAGTTAATTGATTGTATCAAAAAGTATCAAGTCAAAAATACTAAACTGTGATATTTTGACGGTAGTTTATGTTAAAAAATACGTTTTTATGTGTGGATTATAATCACGAAAGATGTCAAGGGGCATTGCCGAAGTATGAAACAGTATTATTATATTTTACGTTAAAAACATGTTTATAGTGTTTAGGTTTCATAAATGAACGATATTAATATAAGCGTTATTTTGAATTCAAAATTTGTGTTGAAAGTATCAAAGCAAAAATGTTACAATGTGATATTATTACGCTATATTTTATGTTAAAAAATTTATTTTTATATATAGATTATAATCACGAAATCTAGTGACAAGGGGCATTGCCCAAAGTATTAAACATTATGATTATATTTTGCGTAAAAAACATATCTGTGTAGTGCTTTTAAACGTTGTTTTATATGAAAAGGTGATTTGTAAAGCTTTTCATCAAAATATTCTATTATTAGACGTTACTTCGTGTTAAAAAAGTTGTATGTATAGCGAGTAAACGGTGGGTCTGAGTTAAGTTCAATCCAATCCTGCCGGCACATCCGGTTTTTCTTGTGCTTATGTTTCTGGGATGTCTCTCGGTTATATGTCTTTTGTATTCAGAATTTGTGTTATTTTGTTACAAAATGTGTAAACTTTTAAATAAAAAAAACAACCAAATGGTGTTATTTCTTTTTCATCCATAAACTGCAATGCATTCCTAAAAATTATACTATTGTATTAAAAACTTCTGAAAATGAATTTTTAAAAAATATTTCTGCGTTCGACAATGTTATTACCATTATTTCATTCGTAAGTTTTTGAAACTTGATGGTCTTGTATATATTGTGTGCTATACATGTACATTTCTTAGTAAAATATATACTTTAATGTGCAATCCAAATAGACTGTTTTATATAATAAAAGAAAATATTTTGAAAATTAGTTTTAAAAATAGATTATGCATTTCAATTATTGCGTTAGGGTATGTAGATAGACCGGTTCTGGCCACCCTGAAAGTTTTACGGGATAATTATTATATATATATCGTTATAATGTTTGCAATAATACGATAAAGTGTTAATATTGCAATAGAAACATTTCATTACGCAATTATACGTAATACAATCCTTTTTTACTGGGTTTGGCTGCTGTGTGTTGGTTGTAAAATATGTATGTTTGAATTACGCGCTAGTATCCACAACCAGTGCACTGGCCACAATCGGTGCGCCGTACTCCACAACAGTTGCAACGTTGCCACGTCCTCTGTATCGCTCACGGTGAGGAAGAATGTACAACCAACTACTATTTTTCAATTAATAATACTCTGCAACCGTACGGTTAATCACATCGTCTTTGAAGAATTACGATCCCTGAACACTGAAGTAATTTTGATTTGTTTTTGAACTAAATCCTTATTGTGCATCAACAATTATTAATGAATATATTTCAAGTTGTCCGTTTTTCGGTCGCAGCGGCCATAAGCGCAATGCTAAATATGCAGAAAAACAGTGAACTTTGAAGAGGAATATCTCGAAAACTACACGGTAAAGGTCACTGAGCTTCAACAAAACTGTGTATTAATATATTCTTTAATTTTTATGAAAATTTCAAAAGATTCTGTAACATTACTGATTTTGAC